TTAGATTCACATGTAATGCTTGAAAACATGTCAGCAAAAATAAATTAAGTGAAATTCTACGTGACTTCATAATAGTTGGAAATGAACACATTACACCCGACCCTACCACTCCATATACAATGTAAACTACACCCCAAAACATCCTTTCACCCACAGTTACTACCGTGTTTCACCAGTGTATTCTATTTGACGTCAGGAGAAATTGAAATAAACAAATTAATTATAATTTCAGCCTCTAGTTGACCACTGATTAAATAAACTACCTCGTCTTTATGTCAACTTGCAGTTATTCGTTGCCTACATCAGTGACTTCAAAATATATGTTTCAATCCCAGGAATTTCACTCGCTGTTAATTGCATGGGAGTGGCAGTCTTTAATGAATTTCTATTGTCATGTCAATTTCTTGCGATTACTCGAACATTAAGCTGTAACCACATACCGCCTAGGTGCTGTAATTAAATCCTGGTGTAAGCACCATATGAACTATGAACAATGCACGTGAAGCCACCTGTGGGGTATATTCAATCCTATAGATTTCTCATTGTTTGGTAACTATTTGCTGCAAATGCAACAAAAATCATTATAAAAAATATTACCCACACAGTATTCTACAGGTTACTTGTTGATTTTTTTAATTTGTTTTCATTTGTGTTCTCTCAGCCTATGCATGAACGATTACTGCCACCACAAGGATAACAATTAAAGCGGGGGAGTCGTCACCTACGCATGCGTCAGTTGGCCATAGCGTGTCATTGTTTATAAACAACCGTTAACTATAATTGTTTATAAAAACCGTTAACGCTGTTCAGCTTAACCTGGTTTGGAGAAAATCTTTAAAGTTTAAAAGTTTTAAAACTGTTTAAATATTAAAAATCGTTAATATGATGTTTCACAGACACATATGCAAAAATATATGATTTATAAATATTTTAACGCATTTAAAATATCATCACATAATCTGGATAAATACGCATAGTATCCTGATATGACAGTTGCTATTAGGAACAATGGCGTTTAGTTATTATTTCTAATCATGAAAAATGTTCTTTTAGAACGATGATAGTTTTTATCGATACCGACTGCTGATGCTTTGGCCGGGTGCTTTGCACTTGTATTGTACTAGTAGCGCTGAGTGCTGCGGCAGTATACACAGTGCCATCAACGGTAAGTTAACGCATACCCGGAAGTACCTGACGTTCATGACACAACAAGTTCTATTAGTAAACACTGAGTAAACCACTTTCACTTTACGTTGACAACGCAGCACAGTAGTACGTACACATACTGTAAGTATAGTCCGTTTTAATGTGTAAACATGGATTGTAAACATTCGATGTAGCCAGGTTTGCGACGATCATGGAGCTATAATAAGATTTTAGCTCCATGCGACGATCAACTTGGGGATCATTTCCTTGCAACTGTAGGTGTAGTCACTTCCTGGTTACGCTAACCAAGTTCGGAGAGCGTGGGTAATACGCAGCTCAATTCACAAGATCAAACCTGATGTTTCTCCGAAGTGATAATCCAAATGTTATTGTTCCAACCCGAAACATATCTGAGTCTCTTGGACGACTTCGCATGTCGTTTCCCCGGTAGTACCTCCGATTCATAGATCTCCATACTCACCCCTTATCTGACCCGAGGTTTTTTGTTTTTTTTTTTGGGGGGGGGGGGCTACATTGAGTGGCACATATTTCTTTTTTTTTTCTTATTACTACTAATATTTTATATTTCTCTGCTTACTTATTGTTTTATTTGTTATTGATGTTTGTTACTTGTTGTTGTTCTTGTATGTTTATTGACCATAAATAATGTAATTCAATGCATTATTTCGTGCCAAATAAAATATACTATACTATTTCATAAATAAAATAATACCCTGGAGAAAAACATCCTTACCAGTGAAAACGGTTATTTTTTTTAAGTGTGAAACGCTCGATGCGGTATACGCTAAATTAATGCATGGCAGCCTATAAATACTAATATTATTATTTATAGGCCTTTGAATTACAATTCATATACAAAGTTCAACATAATTAAACAATAACAAAAACATTACTTGAACAAAACTATTCGACTAAGTTCTCTCAATTAATTTCTTGATATCGTGGATATTTCTCTCCCATTGATAACTGATCACAAAAGAAAGGGAAATCTAAAGTTAAGACAGCCTGGATGGTAAAACCTTGTAAATTTAAGTAAAATGTCTGTTTCATTGTCTTGGTAAACCTTACAAGTGAACATAAAATATATCTTCATTTGCCCCTTTACAACTAATACATTTCCAATTCCCAGTGTAGTTAGTCCACTTAAATTTATTCTCCTCTAAATCCAAAATATTTGACCTTACCTTAAAAGAGGGAGGTACCAAAATGATCAAGAAGGTCATTAACATACTCTTGTTTTTCATTGTGTTGTTTTTATCCAAACATATTGGTTTAGTGAACTATTGTGTTCGGAAAGTCTAGTAAATTCATTAGTTCCACTAATTTTATAGAAGCTATTAACCCATTTTGCATTTGTTGCTCGATGAGAGGTGCAAATATGGTCCAGACAATTTTTTGTCAGAATGTTTTATTAATATATGTTGGTTCCGTTCTTGAAAACCATTTTTGTATACCTTCATCCATTTTCATCCATCTTGGAATTTCACATGAGTTTCATCAAGTATAACATTTATATCAGACCAGCCTTAATCGCCCCAAACTGCATGGCATGACACATTTCTGTTAACAACAAATTACCTGGTATAGTATGCTTTTTAATTTGTTGTTGTGTGCTCTGCTTTGTAAGAATCAAACACTGCTCCCATAGCTAATTGCTGACATTATGATATTTGCTGTAACACATCTCCATATTCAAAGCGGTTGAAAATGTTGGTTAATTAGGGATTTTGGGCATGCCTTACCTAAGTAATTGTATGAGTTGGGTTCTTTAATTTCATTGGGCAGTTTATTTTTGTGTTGTCTTTTGTCAAAGTACATTATTTCGGATTTGAGCTGCTATATTTAGCATGCTTTGCAAATTCATTAGGGTCATTGGCAATGAAAGCTACCGGTACATCAAAACTAAACATTAACATTCTTGCAAATGCATTTATTACCAAACGCTTCAGCGTGGTATTAAGAATTTGTTTTCAGGGGTGGATGATACCAAGGTGGGAAATGGATGCACATATGGGGTTAATTCCTGGAATTGCAATAGAGAGGGCTCAGGCCAAAATACAATATATAGTGTTTTCATGTTTCGTCTGATATTTCTGTGGTATTCTGCTGCTGTAACTAATGCAAGATTTGTTCTGAAATTCAGTGTATTGTGTGCACTCAAGGGTTATTCGTTTTTTGCTGAAAACACCCCTATTTTTTAATAGCAGATTCGAACTAGGTTCACTCCCACTGGGAAATATGCATTGTCGCTTGAATGAGAGCTAATTAAACACATTTT